GAAGATGTGTCGGAATTACCTGAACGCTGCCCAGCTGTTGAATCCGTCGATTGACCTTTCGGTCGAAGTTGGACTTACCTAGTCCGACTATTTGTCCCAGGTAAACGTACTCATCAACAACTTCGGGCTTAGTGCTCCCTACAAATACCGGCATACGTATGACATGGACATTACACATAATCTTTGTTTTGTCCATGTTCATGTTAAGACCTAATCCGTTGGGAGATACTATTGAGGTCATTGAGCATCGTGCTTAGGTCCTCCAGCAATTCTGCCATAAGGACAATATCGTCAGCAAATCGAAGGTGAGTGATGTACCGAGATAATATATACGTTGAATAGAAGTGAAAAATATAAGTGAATTTATCACTTCATTTCGTCCCGCGGGTAAAAAAAGACTTACAGACAAAAAAGACAGTCCAGTCTTTTACCTGTTCTTTCCGAGAGGGATTCAGAGCAGTGAAGAGTTCGCCACGCTGTTCCAATGCAGGCAACAGCGTGGTATAATTAGTATATCCACAAAATTTAGATCTTTGTTTTTCTTGTTCCGTGTTTTATTTGGTGAATGCTCTTTAGCGTCTGAGCTACCAAGGCTATCATGTTTTTAATACTGGAATTTTTATACCGACTTCCAAAAACGAGTAACTTCTATTAAGTATTTTACAATTCATGAGTTTTTAACAAAAATTTGTCCTTGCTAGAATAATAGAAATAAAGTGTTAATCGTAGTTATTTAGACCCATTTTAGGTGTTATTACAAATATATACAATTAATTATTAAATTAAAAGGATTCAAATTAAAAAAAAAACAGGCTTCAGTAGGTAAAACTAAAAATAATGAAAACAATTTGTAACATAAATGTGGAAATAATTTTATTCGTTTTTGTTTTTGAAGACGGTATTTACTTTTTTTAAAAGAGTTTACTAATTAATTAAAAAGGTTACGTAAAGTATTGAATTTTCAAGGTGAGTATTATATGCGGGATTATCAATAATCTAAAGCTAGATGAGTTGTGATTTTGTGATAAACCACGAAAGAGGTTACAATTTTGCATACAAACATCGTCCACCTCACAATGGCGACCTTTGTATAATCCCCCACAGTTGAGTATACAAAACTCTTTGGTTTTTCGACTCAAATGTTTAGTAAAGTTTAATTTTGATTGCATTAATCTTGACTGATTTGTATTTTCTACTGCATTTTTATGGTAATTTAAAAAACCATTTATCTTAATTTTCATGATCTTTGTTTACTTATTATATAATTTAAATTAAGTCAGTGCTCGCCCACAATCACAATTTTGACGGCTCCGTAGTGCAGTGGCTTAGCAATGAGTTACAGCGCTAAAGCCGTGGGTCAATCCCGCACGGATCAAGTATTTGTTTGGACAACAAGTAATTGTTCCTGGTCTGGATGTTCGTCCTTGTGAAATTTATGTTTGTAAACTGCCCCCACTATACAGGAGAAAATCTTAGTGCAGAGGTAACGTTTATTTTAAATATCCCACCCGGTGGCAAGTGGTGATTAAGCACTAAGTGCTAAACAGTAATGTCTTAGTGGAACAAAATATTATTCACTTTTGTCCTGAATGAAAACGCAGTAGCTATTTGTTCTGAGAAAGGTTATATTGGATTACTATCGAATAAAATCCTACAGTGGTTGCCCTCAGCATCGACGAGGGGCCACAGGATCTCTGTACGGAACGCGACAGTTGCTTCAGTCCGTCCAGAAGTACTCGCGAACTTCTATACCTGACCGACATGCTCCTTTTTGCATAAGAGTTGGTTCGAATAAGTCTTAGAAGAAGAAGAATCACGGTCTTAGGGAATTTCTGGTTGCGTTTCCCTGTTGTTTTGTGTTCTATATTTTTGTGTTCTCCTGCTTGGGACTGCTAAGCCTTTTCACTTTAGCCCTCAAGGGAGACAACACAAGTCCCTAGGCTGCAGTAGCGATTAACGAGCAGGTCAACTGCGGTCTATTTTGTTATGATATAAAAAAGAAAGGAAATAATTTTTTTATTTCATACCTTCCGCAAGATTTAAACTTTTTGTTTATTTGTATGACCTAGTTCGGTCTTTTGTGTTATACAATACAAAATGAGAGTTCACATCGCACCTTTAATAATAAACCGTAATAATTCAAAAAAACGACTTTTCGATGTTTAATTATAAAACGCATTAACTCCGTGTAGAGATAATGATTTCTTATATTTACGCGAACACTACACATTGAAATAATACTAATTTTTACGGAATTTATCGCGTATATTTAACTTTTTTACCCGACGTTTCGAGAGCTTTACAGCACCCATGGTCACGGGAAGGACTGAGATGTTCAACGTCCAGCTGTCATAGTTAACCGCGGTTACCATAGATTAAAATTTTGCTTGCAACAATAAAGGTGTTATCCAAAGGACTAAATTATGCTATAACTCCAAGCAGATTACCGTACGAAGAAATTATCTGTAGTGTCGAGGACTGTTTATTTAAAAACAATATGCGGAAAGAAGATTTGGAGGCGATACGTCAAGACATTTCGTCTATGTTACGTCGATGTTCAGTGCCTAAACCGAATCTTCCCAGAGACGAATTTATAGCGTTAAAGAACCTACGCAATAAACCAGAACTTACGATTCTCCGCGCAGATAAGGGAAACGCCACGGTGGTCATGGATACGTCAGATTATAATTCTAAAATACAAGAACTTTTGTCGGATGTAAGTACTTATAAAAAGGTTAAAAACGACCCAACAAACAGCACACTAAAAACAACTAGTGACCTCATAAAGAAACACTCCGAAAAATTAAATCTGGACGTAAAATGGATAATACCTACGTGCGCCAAATCACCAAAGTTGTATGGGTTACCAAAAATACACAAGCCCAATGCTCCATTACGCCCCATAGTGAGCCAAATCGATTCACCAACTTACAGATTGGCTCAACACTTAGCGAAAATACTCTCACCGCTCAAGGGACATACAAGAGCACATATAAAGGATTCCTACCATTTTGTCAGCGAGATTAAAGACCTACGTCTGGCAGACAATGAAACTATGGTCAGTTTTGATGTGCAGTCATTGTTTACATGCTTACCTGTTGAAGACTGCATCTCAATTGTAACTAGAAGGCTGGAAGAAAACAACATGCCCGTAGAATATGCAGTATTACTCAGACACTGCCTTACATCTGGCTACCTATTGTGGAAGGAGGAGTTCTACAAGCAAGTAGATGGTGTGGCGATGGGCTCACCTGTATCTCCCATTGTCGCCGACATATTCATGGAAGACTTTGAGGAGAAAGCCCTGCTTACTTCTCCCATAAACCCAAGATTCTACAAGCGGTACGCAGACGACACTTTCACAATTCTACCTTTAGATAAAGTAACTGCATTTTTAGACCATCTTAACTCCATAAATACTAAAATTCAGTTCACAATGGAGTTAGAGGCAAACAATTCCTTAGCTTTTCTAGATGTGTTAGTAATTCGGAATCCTGATAACACCTTGAGCCATACTGTGTATAGAAAAAAAGACCCATACAGATAGATATTTAAACGGTGATTCTCACCACCATCCTTCACAGTTAGCTACCGTGGGTAAATCTTTGTTTCAGAGAGCACGAGGGATCTGTGACAGTAAACACCTGGCTGCCGAGCTCCAACATGTCAAGCAAGTTTTGCATGACAACAAGCTTCGGGTCCCGCGCCTACGTCACAGAGAACGAGTGAAGCCGGCCACAGTCGAGCGTGTACCTGCTGTACTGCCATATGTTAGAGGAGTCACTGACAAGATTGGCTACATCTTGAAGCGCGCTTCCATCAAAACATACTTCAAGCCGCCGAAGAAGATTGGTCAGTTTTTACCATCAGTCAAGTGTAACGTCCCTCTGCAAGATGCAGGAGTGTACAAGCTTGATTGTGAATGTGGTCTCTCCTACATAGGACAAACTAAAAGATCAATTAAAACCCGCGTCAAAGAACATATAGCTGATGTGAAGAATCGACGCTCCGGGAAGTCTGCAGTCTGTGAACATGTACAGGATCGCCCCCGTCACTACATCAGATTTGATAGACCACAAATCCTCGCTAAAGAACACCGATTCCTTCCAAGGATGATTCGCGAGGCTATTGAAATCAAAAAACATCCTAATTTCAATAGAGAAGATGGCTGGGTGCTACCATCTGCTTGGGATCCTATAATAAATAAAATTAAATCCCAACCCAAGCATACAACTGCAAGACTCCATGATACCATAAGTTCATACTGTGTAGATCGGAACAAAAGTTAAATTTTAATCTATGGTAACCGCGGTTAACTATGACAGCTGGACGTTGAACATCTCAGTCCTTCCCGTGACCATGGGTGCTGTAAAGCTCTCGAAACGTCGGGTAAAAAAGTTAAATATACGCGATAAATTCCGTAAAAATTAGTATTATTTCAATCCGTGTAGAGAATTTGTACACTTTAACAGCCGTTAAAATCGAAAAACTACAAGCGAGATAGAAGACTTTCCATCTCTTTTTGATTTTTGCAGCGGGCCAATGAATATTCATAAAGCGACGCCATTTAGTGTTGCTCCAACAGCGACAAAAGTGAGACGATTGTAAACGCGTGGTAAAACCCAGTAGTTCGTTTTATTTTTAACAGGTAATGAATTGCAATACTAGAATTTTATTTTAAAAGTGATTTATTTTTTATTGTTTCCTTTTATTAAAAAAAAAACTGCTATTTTATTGTGCAATAAATAGACTTAATTCAGTTTAGGATAAAATATTATCATTACTCGTAAGGACCTTTTGAAGTTGTTGCATTTTATTGTTAAAAGTTTTCGATGCTTAGTAAAATATTAAATGTTATTTCTATGTATTAATAATTTTCTTTTACAATAAACTTGAGAATATGATTTGTGCCGGTTTAATGTTTATTTAGCAGTAAGATGTTGTTTCATATTTAATGTTATTTCTCTTTGTGATTAACAGATATTTAGTATTCAAAAGTTATGTCACATAGAAGTCGAAGAATTTTGGGTTTGGTTTTGAAAACTAAGGAGTCCCATAGTGACCACACATCTGCCAGATTATCGGAATGCGTAAAACAAGATACCTGTGATATTGTAAGTACTTGGATTAAATATTGTTAATACTATGTTCATGAGAATGTTAGGTAGTAGATATAGTGCTACCAACCTAACAGTAATATGCGCTTTTGAAGTTAGTATTTCCACTCTTTTAATGGGGCGCAAGTAAGCTTCGCATAAATGCATTTGCACACAGACTCAATTAAGTACATATTTTTTATGATATTTTTGTAGTTCCTTTCAGACATAAATTAGTTCGCACTGTAACCTAATAACAATGTTACAATTTTATCAAATTTATATTAAGTTTATTGTATTTCAGCCAATGTTTCAGAAAATAAGTCAAGAGAATATAGAAAATTTTAATCCATGCGATAAGTAAGTAAGTTTCTATGTACCAATGTTGCATTTTTAACTTAAGTATTGTACTATTTACCTAACAATGCAAAATTTCAGGTCGCGCATGTAGTTGCTGAAACTGCCAGTTCCCAAAAAGTAGAAAATGTCACTCAGTATCAATCAGTCAGTCAAACAAAACTTAATCTTGTACCAAACTACGATAGCGAAGGTATTTCTAACGAAGATAAGCCACAAGTAAGCAAGAACTTACGGCACCAATCATGCTCAAGTTCGAATTCCTCTTCGTCGAGCTCTTATTCATCGTCTTCGGATTCCGATAGCTCAGTTTCTTCAGAAACAACTAACGAACAAGCTTATATATACAGCCAACCGCAAAATGACATAGCCATTACAACTACACCCGTACTTGAATTGGAGGTTACTGTTAACAATACAACAAAGAATGATGGAACATTTCATGTAATATTCTTCGTTTATAGTTTTATTTCTAAACCTAGTTCTTATATTTCGTAAGACATTTTTATTTTCAGGTATACGATAATAGCGTACGAGAGCGAAGATTGTGTACTAGAGATGATCCAATTATTATTTCTCCTCGATACACTGATGAGAGTGATTTAGATGACGATATAGAGGACCCAACTTACAACTTTGAGGACAAATTTGCTAACTTTTCTGGTCATATAAATAAGAATTATTTATTACCATCGCGTTCGAACTCAGATACTGATTCTACAGACCAGCACGTCAAAGCAGGTCGCAAAAGGCGGAAACGTCCAGAAAACTGGAGACAAAACCGAATGAAGATAAAGCGAAACAAGGGTCAATCCTACAAATCTATGTCTAAGACTCAAAAAATCTTCCCGGCTCGATGTTTGAAGCTGCCATGCTCAAATTGTAGACTGAATTGTAGTCAAAAAATTAATGACTCAGTAAGATACGTTATTTTTGATAACTTTTGGAAACTGGGAGACCTAAGCCAACAGAGATCATTTATAAATTCGTGTATGATTGATATTCAGCCAAAATACAAATACACAAACGCAGAAAATCCACGTCGTCCTAACAAGGCTTTTTTCTTTATTGTCAATGGCAATAAGGTAAGAGTATGTAAAACATTTTTTAAAAGCACGTTAGATATAACTGATCGCATGATACATACTATTAGGATAAATACAAACGAAAATGGATTTTTGATGGAGGAAAGGCGTGGGAAACATGGCCACAATAAAAAGATAGATCCCGAATTGCTGGTTGACATTAAAAAACATATTGAATCCATTCCTCGGATGGAATCACATTATGTTAGGTCAAACACAAATAGGAAATACATAGAAGGTGGTAAAACAATTAAAGATCTTTACAAAGATTTTGTTAAGATACAAAATGATAATGGTAAAGAAGCCGGTAACTACATAACCTATTACAAAATCTTTAACACAGCCTTTAATCTAAGTTTCTTTTGCCCCAAAAAGGATCAGTGCGATTTATGTGTCAGTTATGAGAACGCTAACAGTAGCCAAAAATTGCTCATAGAAGATAAGTATCAAACACATTTAAAAGAGAAGGAGCTTAGTAGAAAGGAAAAATTAAATGACAGAATTAAAGCAGATGCAGTGAACAAGGTCGTTGTTTACGACTTAGAAGCCGTTTTACAATGTCCCAGAGGAGAAACGTCGGCTTTTTATTATAAGTCTAAATTAAATAGCTATAATCTAACACTGACAGAACTTAACAACAAGGATAACAGAAATGCTTATAATAACGTTTACTGTTATTTTTGGACAGAGGTCGACGGAAAACGGGGGGGCTATTGAAATCGGATCATGTGTGTGGGATTATTTAAATAAAATCAGTAGCGAAGAAGGGACAGCAGAAAAGAATATTATTTTTTATTCTGATAACTGTTGCGGTCAGAATAAAAACAAATTTATAGCAACATTGTATTTGTATGCTCTACAAAAATTAAACATTAATAGTATTACTCATAAATTCCTTATCAGAGGTCACACACAGAATGAAGCAGACAGCGTGCATAGCCTAATCGAAAAGGAAATTAAAAAAAACCTTAAGTCAGGTCCAATTTATACCCCTGATCAATATATTGCATTGATCAAGTCTGCAAAAAAAGTAACCCACCTATAAACGTTTACGAAATGACATTCGACTCATTTATAAATATTAAAGACCTGCAAGAGGATTGGGGGTATAATTTTCATACCAATATTGCTGGAGAGACAGTGAACTGGAATGAGATAAAACAATTAAGTATGTTTAAGGGTAATCCTTTTAAATTTTACTATAAGAATTCATATGAGGACCAATCATACAAGGAGGTGGACGTGCGAAACAAAAGAAAAAAGATGAAGCACGAAAATGAAGTTCAACTAAAACAAGCATATACCGAAAAGCAGTCATTAAGTGCCAATAAGAAAAAGGACTTGAAAGAACTCCTCACAAAGGGGCTAATTCCATCTTACTATGCAAATTTCTATAACACGTTATTGTAAAAGTTCTCTTTTTTACTATAAAGCTTACTTTAACTATTTTGTCCACTACTTTGTAGGATTAATCCTGTTCACCAATGAGTATAAATAAGTGATAATATTTTGTTTTGTTTTTTATCATTTTTACTAGATATATCATTTTCAGAATGGATTATTTTTACTAAAAATAAGCGATAATAATCATTGTGTGCTGTAGAGAGTTACCTATAGACTTCTGAACTTTGGTTTATTATGTTATATATTATTTCAAATATTTTTCTTTATCTGAAATTATTTTTGGTATACATATTAATATAATAAAAGTCGATCTAGATATTATACTAATTTTTGTGCTAATTTATAGTTTTCACGAAGTAAAGTTCCTTGTATTCTTAAGTATAATTTTAGGATTGAAATAAGATTTAAAGAAGAAACTATAATGGCGTTCTTCTAAATTTATACCAAATCTCATCGTTAATTAAAGTGTAATGCGTAATAATAAAATGAATTTTCTTTGAAAAAGCCGCCTTCCTTTAATATCATAAAGTCGTTTTAAGAAATAGGACTAAACGGTTACCTTCTTAATTTATGCAAAGAGCATTATATCTTAATACATGAAATTATAAACATATATGTTAATAATAAAATGCACGAATATATTTTGTATCATATAAAATATTAGATATCAATTTTAATTTTAATCATAAAATGAATTAAGTCACTCACTATATTTAAAGTTATGTTTTTTTCAAATTTATAAAACATATGTTACGATTAAATAATATCATTTGGAAGACTAATTTATAGAGAATTTAAAAACGTTACAAGCATTTCTGTATACTACCTGAATTTATTTTTATTTATGAAAATACGTAGGGAGTCATACTGGCCAAACTTTGAAAACGATTTCCCAACAATTGTGGTTTTTGAATTATTTCGGTTTATTATTAAAGGTGCGACATGAATTGTAGGTTATTTAAATAAATTCTCTGATTGTCGGACGGAAAGATAGACGCCGGCAGATTGTTCCACTCCTTTGCTGTATGGATGTAATGGATGTAAGACAAAGCAAACCCTTCGGTTCGAATGCGAGGAATATCGACAGCAAAGGGGTGAAGACCCCCGATCTGGTTATCTGATGGTGGAAAGGACAGCAAAGATTAAAGCATGTAATTATCTCAATAAAGTACACTGCTGCCATTACAAAACTCTTGTACCAACATTGCTATGGCGACAACTTATGTGGCGTGCTGATTCGTCGTGTTCCGCAACAATACGGTCTGACCACTTTCTCACGTTTTTTTGGGCTATAAACTAGCTTACTGCCAATTTTCAATTATTACAAAACACTACTTGTAGAGCATGTTGTAATTATACACACAACAAAGCCCGCCGCCGCACTATGGGACCAAACGGTGCGTTCCATCTCAAAAATCTATATTTTTTTCGTTTATTAACATTTTTAATTGAAATTTTGTATAAGTATTTCGGAATACTTATGCTATTATACAATTAAAACATTACCATTTTAAAGACTTTATTTATTTTGTAAAAAAATGACAAAACTGAAAATTATTAAATTTTCTTACAAAAGTTAAAATAAAAGAACGACTAAAATAGTTTTCACAGGAATGCTACAATTAAAAATGATTATAAATGCCATAACAGACGAGAAGTATGCAACATCGTTTTTCTTGCACATGTGGTTAATATGATCACCACAAAAAATCTTGTGAAAATATTTTTCCAAATTTTAAATACCTACCTATAATATGTTGTGCTTATTTGTTACATAAACAGTATTTTATTGTAAACAAACAATAACAAGTATTTTGTTGTATCCACAAATGTCATCAATATGACATTTTTGCTTCTAGCTCGAAAGGGTGCGCTAATGACTGTGTTTTTTTTATTTTCTTGTATTATTGAACAGTTAACGAATCTAAAAATCTCATTAACTCGACATCGGCAGTTATCGGAAACAAGGAAACCTCAATTTGAAAATCAAAAAGACGGAAATTTTCCTCATAACATTTAAAAATTACAAAAATATAAAGTAATTGTAAACAGAGATTTTGATCAATCCAAAAATGTGTAATACTTATATATTCCCTTGAAGAACTTAAAAAATATCTTAAAATGAACTTCTATATTGAGTAATCCGATTTACATGAAATTATCGAAGTGCAAAGTTTAGGTGTAATTTTATATGCTTAAATTCATGTTTATACTAATATTTTTGTACTAATATATCAGATAGCTCTATCTTTTCAGAATATGAAACTATCAAAACGGTCTCAGTTCAACAAGACTTTTGTCCGAACCATTTTTGAGATGGAACACGCCGTTTCGTCGCCTCGCGAGTGGGTGCTGACTCAAGTACACCCTCAATACTAAATTATATTGAATTATGGGCCATAACAAAAATCTTGCCTTTTTGTCGCCAGCTCTTGGACTATAAGATTTTGTACTCAGATCAATAAAGAAAGAACAATTTGTTTTTGTTTTTTCGTATGGTTCCCATTATTAGATCTTGGTGGGACTCTCTGAGGTACTCCCTTTTTACTGATAAATATTAATGTTAAAGTTACAGTCTCACAGCTGGGCACAGGCCTCCTTTAATTTCTGAGAGAGTTTTAGAGCAAGGAAATATCTGCGGCGCTTTCCCAATGCGTGTGTTGGTGAACTTTACATGTCTTCGAAATTTTCTAATTTTTCGAAGATGCTGGTTTCTCCACGATGTTTTCCTTCACCGCCAAGCAAGTGGTAAATCAGCACTTAAAGTTACAATTAACAATTTCATTGGCGCCGGCGAGGATCGAACTTAAATTTCCAGCTAGCGCTTAGCCACTGAGCTACCACGGCTATATATTAAAAAAAGAATAATCCTATTAAATAAAGAAACATTAAAATCAGAAAATGTGGTAAAGTTTTATCACTAAACATAAATAAAAAGTGTTCCGATGAGTTAATAACCGCTCCATTTTGTGAATTCGGTTGAAAATAATATATTTTAAAGTGTCTGGAAAGCAGATGTTTGAATACTTTCTTGTTTATTACAGGTTTACGGTTACCATATATCCGATAATAATGTTTGTTTATCTCAACAAGAAGTTATAACGCGTATCCACGGGCGTTTGCGCTTTCCTGTAAATCATTAAGATTCCATTAGATGTAACAACCACAGCTTGGCTTGAAAGTTCTGAAGGATTATATCATGACTTTTAAGGTGTAATATATACTCGTAAATACTTGTGTGTATTAGCTTCAAAGCGCGGATTAGTTTTAGTAGCTTGAGAAATTATTTAATACAAATTTCATAGATTTCGTTGCAACATAATCCCAGCAACTCAACATTCTACTAATAATAATAATGACCTCCAGACCGAATTTCGGCTACGGCGGCCTGCCTCAACGGAGGCTAGCCATCAGCGCAGGACAGGATTATAGTGCCCAAGTGTATGCACAAGCACAGGTGCACTCTCTATTCTCTCACTCTCGTAATCCGATGGGACGGTAAACCGACACGACTGGGAGGAAGATCAGGCGCAGGACCAACGGCTTTACGTGCTTTCCGAGGCACGGGGGTGAGACACCGCCAACTTCCTGACTCCGGGCAGCTACTGAGAATTTCTTGACAGAAAAACTCAATAATTGATTTTTTGGCCCGATCCGGGATTCGAACCCAGGACCTCGTGATCAACATTAGCACTACTACAACCACTAGACCAACGAGGTAGTCAATCTATTATGCGATAGTCAACTGCTGTAATTCGTAAGTGAACTGCTCTGGACGAGCACACAGTTCGTATGATGTCAAGTGTGTGTTGCGGCACGAAGATATATATTCCCTTAATTATCGAAATACAGGTGTGTTGTCACACCTGAGTTCTTAGATGCCTTGTTATTGGTGCTCTGTGGTTCGTGCGCGGTCAAGCCAACCCGTTTATGTATGCTACAGAGATAATACAGCTGTTAGAGCTTGGCTCTAAATTTACGTGCTAGTGAATTTAAATTATAGTCGCTGTATATATTGTATGGGTAAGGCTAGAGAATTTATCCACTGAAGGTTTGACTATCGAATATCAGTCGCAGGAAATGTATACATAGGTTGTAATATTGTATAAATAAATGGATACATAGATTTTTATTTTATTTTTCCATACCAGTTAATCGAAATACTAATATACATATTTGTATATGTATATTAGTTTTTCGATTTGTTGTACCGCAAGGGTGCAAAAGTAAATAAAGTGCATTGGATAAATCTTTAGACCCAAGGCTCACAGTATCGAAGTCAAGCGTGTAGCAACTACTCCGTCACCAACTCAATATACATACAACGTATTCTATATGTATTCTCCTGGCTAGGATGACCACTGGTGGTAACATTTTAATTCGAACAATATTCGAAAGGGGTTTTCTACAAGGCTTCCAATAAGTATTTTTGTGCTTTTATGTATAAAGTATATAGTTATATGTTCACACTTTACACTATAACACTCACTCAGTTCATAGTATTCGGAAGTGAACGTTGCATTTAAAACTGGACAGATTATCGTTATTGAGCTGAAAGAAAATAATTTGACTTAATTATAGTTGATGTCAGCAGTACAAAGTATATTCGTACGCTAGTTTAAAATAAATATCCTAATGATTTACTACATTTATTTGAACACTACACATTAAAATAAACAAATTTTTAAGGATATTTCTTTCAAGAATATGGGTGGCGTGCACGCCGAAGGATTAAGGTGGGATGCTCCATTTTCAGTGAAATGGGTCTCAGGTTCTCTGCACTCACCATATAAAACACAACATCACTAAGCTGCTATTTTATGCTGGTATTCTGTAAGACCGGGGGGGAGGGGGGGAGGAGAGACCCGGGACGAGCGAGTGGTCTTTCCCCGGTCGAGCCGACCTATTCATGCTATAACCATAATATAGCTGTAGCGTGACTACACCACGTGTAAAACTACGCACTCCCCCTTATTTATTTCTACTATCAAACAGCAGTGCCTGCTCTGCTGTGTTCTGGTCTGAAGTGTAAAAAGGGCTAGTATAATTACAGGCTGTGGGGTATTACATCTAAGTTTAAAAAATAAATAAAAT